GGAGTGGCTCGAGGGATTGAATATCTGCATCAAGGTTGTGACATGCAAATTCTACATTTTGATATCAAGCCTCATAACATTCTTCTTGATGAGAACTTTAACCCTAAGATTTCTGACTTTGGGCTTGCGAAATTATATCCCGTAGATAATAGCATTGTCTCTTTGACAGCAGCAAGGGGAACAATGGGCTATATTGCTCCTGAGTTGTTCTACAAAAATATTGGAGGTGTCTCGTACAAAGCTGATGTCTATAGTTTTGGAATGTTGCTTATGGAAATGGCAAGCAGAAGGAAGAATTGGAGTACGATGGTAGAGCATTCAAACCAAATCTACTTCCCACTATGGGCGTACGATCAATATAACAAGGGAAATGACTTGGAGATGAGAGATGTTAACGAGGAGGAAAAGAAAATCATAAAAAAGATGGTTATAACTGCATTGTGGTGTATTCAAATGAAGCCAAGTGATCGCCCTTCGATGAATAAAGTCATAGAAATGCTTGGAGGAGATGGTGAATGCCCAAAAATGCCTCTAAGACCTTTTCTATACCCACAAGAGATGCACGTAGGTGCTGTCCAAGAAAATTTGAACCCAATTGGTTCCAACGGGGAGTTAACATGGACTTTGTCAGCTAGGTGATCATCAAATTGTTAGAAAGTGCAGTTATTGTTAAATTATTACTTCTAATTTGGATTTGGGCATTAGTTTTTTTGAGAGATTTGGGCTTTAGTTAGTACACGCGTCTTTTGACTTTGTTTTTGTGCATTTTTCTTTTCATTTTGATGTTTTTCTTATATTGTTGAAGTTTATCTAATAAAATTTCTCTTTGATAAAAAAAAGGTTATTACTATTGTAACTAACCAGTTGTTTGTCTAGTGTTACTTCTTCCCAAAGTTGGAAGAGGTTCTAAGTTTGAATCCCCTTTTCCTTGATAAGAAAAAAAAAACCATCATTTCTACTATAAGGGCTCGTTTGGTATGTCAAATTGTACTGATTAATTTCTGTTAGATAGTATTAATCTGTTCCGGAGAGTACTGACTGTTTATCCATAATATTATAAGGCGTTTGGTGCTGTTCCAGATAAACAATCTGACTAAGTTATGTTGTGTTTGGTGTTGTTACGGATAACATCGGATCAGACCATTTTTTAAAGAAAATTCTTTGATAATTTAAGTGGAAATTGAAATTCAAATGATACGATTTTTTTTTTTTTTGGGTAAGATTCATATGACAAGACAGTTGCTACAGACGGTTGCTTCTCAAGTTTAAATCCACTCATTCACAACAACACAGACAAATAACCAAAGACTCAAACATACCCGGAAAAAAAAAAAAAACCAGAGACTCAAAAAAAGAATGCAGACAAATAAATAATTCAACCATGCAATTACATTCCTACATAATTACTTTATTTGTTAAAGATTCCCACAATGTTGAATTACTATATCACATACAAACAATTAAACATTTGATTAAAAAAAATCAACAAGGAAAAACTCATAACCAAATTTCCACAAAAATTTAATAAAAGAGAAAATATATAAAGAAAGAGAAGATGAAGATAGAAGAAGAGAGAAGATGACAGGACCTTACCCGAATTCCCCCTCAGAATCCGTGTCAAACCCTGTTACCTATCTGACATCCAACCACTGCTGGACTCACCTACTATTTTACCCACTTCCCCACGTTCATAAAGTCAAGACGTCTACCGAAATTTTTG